GAGCAGGATCTGGCTAGCGGCAACGGGCTCCGGCCGCGGCGGCGGCCCCGCGCGGGGGAGCCGCCGGCGGCGGCGAGGGAACCCTAGGAGCGGGGCGTTGGCGAGAGGGGAGAGCGGGCCGTTCAGCTGCGACGTCTCCTATGCTCCTTCTAGAGACATATTTTAGAGTGTAAATTCACTCATTTTGCTCTGTACGTAGTCACTAGTTGAAATCTTTATAAAGACTTATATTTAAGAACGGAGGAAGTACATGATAGTAACCTGTTCCAACGTGCTAGCTCCATGGGATGAGAAACGACTTTTGTTGTGATGAACTTGTTTACATTATTTCTAACCGTCTTCGAAATAAAGACATGAAACTTCCATTAAGACCGGCCTAATGATGGATGGATGGATGACTTGGTTTGTTAGCGTCACGGGTGCTAAAGATCCTTTAATTTGCCCTAATTTCATAAAAACAAATGGATTCGTTGGGATTGCCAGCTGATTCCTGAACCCAGAACAAACTGTTAAGTGCCTTAAAAACCTTGAAATTAAATGCAGCCTCTTTAAACGACGTGTTTCATAGCGACCAGATGCATTAGTCAGAATAACATTTATAGTGACCGGCAGTCCATCACTATAGTGAGTTTTAGCCACTCAATGCAGCTATTGCTTTAAAGCTGTGGTGTAGCGCTTGTCAATGGATGTTATTTAGGTCCACAAACTTCAAAATTACAGTTCTAGGTGTACAAAGTTCATAGCATATTATTATAAAATTCATAATGTGATAGTTCAAAGTTTCTAACCTAGTATTACAAAGTTAGTAATATGATAGTACAAAATTTATAAATTTTGTGTGTAAAATTTTGATCCTATCACTGCAAAGTTTAAAACGTGGGAGTTGAAAGTTTTGAAACTAGCATTACAAAGTTTGTAATATGATAATTCGAAGTTTATAAATTCTAAGTGTTAAGTTTTGAACTTACCATTAAAAAGTTTATAATGTGATAGATCAAAGTTTTGAACATCGTAGAACAAAGTTTGTAATGTGATAGTTTAAATTACATAAATTTTAAGTGTAAAGTTTTGAATCTGGTGCTACAAAGTTTATAATGTAATAGTTCAAAGTTTTTGAACCTCGTAGTACAAAGTTTGTAATGTGATAGTTTAAAGTAAATAAATTTTAAGTGTAAAGTTTTGAATCTGGGGGTACAAACTTTATGATGTAATAGTTCAGAGTTTTTGAACCTAGCAGTACATAGTTTGTAGTGTCATAGTTCAAAGTTTATAAATTCTGAGTGTAAAGTTTTGAATATTGCAGTACTAAGTTTATTTGCAAATACATATATATCTCGACAAATAAGATGTACTCCTTTTCATAGTATTTTTTGCTGACAACCATGTTTTCAGTATCGGTTCAATTATTAATCCCGTATAAAGTATTGTGGAACATAAATATATGAATTTGAAAATAGTACTTTTACATCCATATGGATGTCAAACTCTCTCCCCATCCAATTCTTCTCCCACAAACCCGCTATCCCAAAAGAGAAAAAATAGCTTGTAGAATCCAAATTGGCCCATTGACCTGGAATCTAGACAGGAAAAAACTGGACTACAAAAACTAAATAGGCCTTAGACAGGAGAACCGGGCTATAAAGTCCCTGCGTGCGCTACCTGGCTCTATTGAGGCACGCGCGTTGCTGTTAATTTAAGAGCAACTCTAAAGGGCGATCGATTTCATCACCTGGAGTCCGTTTAAGTCGGCGCAGGCACAAAAGTCGGCTAACGCGCTGACCTAAATGGACGCGCGTCCGCTTGGCGTTCGCCTGTCGACCCATTCCCGGTTCATTTTTGAGCCGGATTTGCGTCAGCACGGGCACGAGGCGGACGCGCGCGCGCACTTTCTTCTCCCCCCGAGCTCGTTGGTCGGTGGTAGCCTCCACTATTTCCCTTCATTCCCTTAAAAACCCTCCCGCCCGCGCGTGCTCCCGCCCCACCCCCGCCATGGACGATGACCTCGACGCCGCTGCCGGCCTCGCCTCCCTCGCCTCGTCCAGCATGCCGGCCACCCCTTCCGGGAAAGGCAAGTCTCGCGCCCCCCCACAAGACCGCCGCGCCCAAGCCGAAAAAGGTGATGACGCCCGAACAACGGGCAAAGGAGTCGGCCAAGAGGGAGGACCGGAGGCACGCGGCGGACACGAGGGATGAAGCCATCCTGGCGACCGCCGCCGCGCAACAGGAGGTCACCAACGCCCGCGTCGCGCCGGCAACGAGGGAGGCGCTCTATATGCTAGGGTTAAACCCTAGCCAGCACGGCCTCGTCTACGCCGCCGTGGCCGCGGCTAGCACCGGCTCATCCGCCTTCCATCTGACGGTGCTACCCGACTCGCCCCGCGCGTCGGCTTGCACCCCGGTGCCCGGCTTCCACATCTACCCGCAGGCCTCCCACCTCTCCGGGGAGTGCTCGCTGGAGGTGAGCGTGGTCGCGCCTTCCACGCCCGCGCCCATCGACCTCAATGCCACACCGGTGGCCGGTGGCTCGTCAACCGGAGGTGCGAGGAAACGCGCGCGGCAGACGCCACCCGACGTGCTGTCGGGCGCACAAAACCTGTTCGACGGAATCAACGACGTCCGCCGGTGACGACGACTACATCTAGAACATGATCTTCGAGGATGGTGTGCAGGCCACTGGCTTCGATCCCGACGAGACACAAAGCCAGGATGGCCGAGGGGGTTCACATCGTCCGCTGGCTACAATGAAGATCAGGCGGCGTTCATGCGTGATCAAGTCGGCATGGACCTGGATGGTTTCCCTCTCGACCATGAGTTTCTGGAGGACTACGGGCTAGAGGAAGAGGACGAGTGCGAGATCGAAGGAGAGCCTTTGTTCGAGGACGAGCTCGCCAACCAAGCCGCCAGGTCGAAGCCGAAGCGCAAGAGCAAGCGGACCAAGGCTTACACGGAGGCCGGGTACAAGCTTCTATGCGAATGTTGGAGAGACATTGGGCAAGACCCCAAGACGGGCGCCGAACAAAAGCATTCAACTTTTTGAATTCGTGTCCACCGTGAGTTCCATGAGCGCAAGAAGTTTCCGCCGTACCAAATAGTAAGCGCGCACGGGTGGGTGTCCATTTCAAAGCGATGGAGGGTGATCCAACAAGAGTGCAACAAGTTTTGTGCCACTCTTGAGAGCGTCAAGGCCCACCCCGTGAGCGGCATCGGCATGCAAGACATGGTATGCTAGCAAGCCGCCCTCTTTTGTGTCATCAATTTTATGCTTGCGTGTTCATTTGCATACCATTTTGCCAATATGCTTGCATGAAATACATTTGTAGGCATTTCAAGCTTTGGAGACATTCAATGTCCAACACAATGGCAAGTGCTTCAACCTCTCCCATTGCTGAGGAGAAGTTCAAGGCGCAATATGCCGCCCTCAAGTCGCGTGGTGGGAAGCAAGCTGTGGAGGAGGTTGGGGACGGCGAGAAGGCTCGGCCGTGGGGGAAGACCAACTCCAAGAAGGAGGACAAGCGGGATGAGACATCGATCGCCTTGATTGCAACTATGGAGGGCATGATCATCAAGAAGGACTCAAGGGAGGAGAAGCGCCGGCAAGAAAGGGAAGAGCAAATGAACGTCTTCACGGAGATCCAAAGGAGAAGGCTTGAGTTGGACGCGGAGAAGCAAGCAAGGATGCTTGAGATGGAGGCAGAGAAGCAAGTCAAGATGCTAGAGATCGATGCCACCAACGCCAAGACCAAGGCGAAAGAAGTGGCTCTCGTGACTATGATGACCGGGGTGGAGATCATGCAGGTGGATCTCAACACCGTGTCGACAAGGAAGAGGCCGTGGTTCGAGAAGATGCAGGCCGACATGCTCAAGTTCGACGACGAGTGATCTATGGCGGCAAGCGCAACCTTTTTTGTATGTCGGCAGGTGTGCTGGCATGACCACGGGGGCCGCGATGGCGTGGTCGAACTCAAGTCCCACCCTTTTTTGTGTGCTGGCATGTGTGTCGGCCGGCTGGCGAGTGCGCCAGCATGAACTGTGGTGATATTTTTTGAAGCCGGCATTGTATACCGGCGTTGGCATGGTGCCGGCATGAGACATCGCCGCTGGCAATGATCGTCCGCAAACCTTTTAAAAAAAAGTTGAGTGCAGACATAAAATAAGTCGACGCATTGAGCGCACTGCCGACCCAAATCTAAAACAGGGCAGATGCTGGGTCCAAATGGACAAAAAGCGGAAAAATTCGCCGGATCGGCCGTTGGAGTTTCTCGTTGGAGTTGCTCTAGGTGCGCGCGCGTTGCTATTCTTACCGGCGCACACGCGCTGAGCAAGTGGCCCGCAATTCTCCGCCACTCACAAACAAATAAACAGTGCCGGCTCACTGACATGTGGCACGTGTGTGTGTATAGACTCCTACTTTACGTCTTGGAGGTTATGACACAACTTTCGTTGCTTTTTCCAGATCATGGTGTGTAATGTCTGCATGTCGTGAAACATCGACGTGCGTGATACACGATCGACTTTGTCTCAACTGACACAACTTTATTTGCTTTTTTCGTTTGGCCACACACAGGCTGCCTATATGGGGTCTGCTCACTGTAGGGGGTCTGCTCACTGTAGGCGGTCGTGTATCACGCACACCACCTTGCCCTATATCTTTGTGCGTGTTGAATAGGTTGCTGCGCGTGATACACGACTCCTGTTGCTGCTCGTGATACACGACTCCCTTTGTCGTCAGTTAAGCCTTGGGGTGTGCCTTGCCGTGTGTGCATATTATCACTTTACACATGGCGCTACGGCGTGCCGCACGCCATCTCCTTGCTGACGCACCCCTCCGTCGCCCACAAGGGGCCCAGCCTGCAGCACGCCTCCTTGTTTGAGCAAGCTTGCAGTTCCGTCCGGGGCTATAAATAGGAGTACGTACGCACATATGTTTTATCAGCTTTCATAGAAAGACAACTTATACAAGTTGAGTCAAGTACCGCACCGCCACCCCTAGCTAGCTAGCAATGGCCACACCCACCGAAGAACCCACCATCACCATGGAGACCTGCGGCGACGACGTCTCCGACCCAACCATGGAGACCATCGGCGTCCTCTCTGATGTCTCCATGGCGAGCAGAAGCCTCCCCGTAGGCGTCGTCTCCACCAATTTCAAGGTCACTCGTGGCTTCGGTGGAATCGCGGAGAACGCCAAGGTGAACGTCGACAGGCTGTATCTACGCCAGGTCATGACGGGCTGGGACGCGAATCAGTCAGACTTGATACAGCCCAATGCCGTGACAGGGCTAGGTAAAACTGCTGTGAACAACTGGGGTGTCTATGACGGTGCTGGCTCCAAGGCGGAACTTGTTGCCAAAACGCACGGTATGCACACACTTGCTGGCAAATGGAGCAATTGGTTTACCCTGGCGTTTGTGGTCGGAAGGTACGTAGAGTAACTCTTATCGTTTCGTTCCACTGTTTTTATTTTACATGTATGGCCAATAATACATGACAGTCTATGGGGCATGCAACCACTGCTGAGAATGGCCTAATTATTATCTAGGAGCAAAAGCGATAATATATATTGTGCATGCAGGTTCGAAGCGTCCACTCTTCAGGTTATGGGAGCTAATGATGAGGATGAAGCAGATAATGACTGGGCCATTGTAGGTGGGACCGGTGAATTCGCAATGGCTCGCGGTATCATCCGGAGAAGAGTATATAGTATAACAAACAATACATTAACACATGCGCTTACTATTGAATTCTTCTGCCACATGACGGAGGTAAGCGTGTAATTAATTTCAGGTCGTCCTCTTTGCATCATATACTCAAGTGGTCTCGTTATCTGACCAGTTTGCATTATATATGCAGTAAAATACTTATCGTTTCTTTTCTATTATTTCAAATCGAGCTCATTGTTGGAATATGTTATACGCTGGGGACCGCTACTATCATGTTAGTCTTAATTACATAGCCTAGTAGGTCCTGTAAAATATTGGAGGGCCATTTTTAGCCTGTAAATACAAACCCCACTAAGGGTCCATTTGTAGCTCCTAGTGTAGTGTTTTTGTAAATACAAACCCTACCGTGAGACATAAAGAGGACCTGGTCTCCCAAATCACCCGATAAAAGGGGTTGAGGGAGGAGAGGTGGAGGACTCTTCGTTTTTGACTTATGACTCTATTTGGCTCTCTCCTTTATTCCTTCACTCCCTCATTTTGTTGGGCTAAACCAACAATCGTGAATCATGATGCATGATCCTTCATATTCAGGTCGTCCCTTCACCTACAAAGAGAGGAACAGTTGGTGGAAATAGAGGCACCCTGCCTCGGGAAATGGAAGGCAAATCCCAACGTCTAGAAAATGTGACAATCTACCATGTAGGTGCAGTTGAAGGGTTTCAATTTTCCTACGTGGACGAAGACAGGAAAATCCGCACCACTGATACTTGGGGTCGAGTACATCCTGATCCTTTGCGCAAGACGGAAGTGAGTAGATTTCAAATTTTGCCATGCATGTGGGGTGCGGTTGTTTTGCAAATCATGTTATAGTTTATGCCTGGCTTCGTCATGAAAGGACGGTGCAAATCTATGTTTGGTTAGAGATAAACTAACCTAAACTTGACATCAATCTAGGGAAAATATTATCAAACGGTATGACTCCAAATATAGGTATATATATAGTATAATCAAAATATATATTACTTGTAAAATCGTACTCACTACGTTTTTTACATGTCGTAGTAGTTTTGTTATAAGTCAAACATTTGTATCTTTGACTATATAGATTCATAACATATATAAGATTTGTTTTTTAGATTTACTATGAAAAATACTTTTATAGTATATAATTCATATATATGTTGTGAAACTATAAGGATGTTTTGAAATGATTAGATGGTTATTAACGTTTGACTTAAAGCACTACGACCTCTGAAATAAAAGAAGAGAGAGGGAGTACGTATAGTTGCTTATTTAGTAGTATGATATAATGTAATATCTTTTTATGGAAATTAAGATAGTTTGACCTAACATTATTTTAGACTTATATCTTTTTGGGGAGGTATGGAGTTTGTACCTATGTATATCTTTCATTCTATCACCTAACTAATAAATACTTGATGATATATCTTTTTTCCTCTTAACATATTATTTGTTTTACAGATAAAGTTTGGCCCATCAGAGTTTGTGAAAAAGGTCAATGGGGCTCAGAGAGGAGGCGAGGGCTGGCTGTCAAGATTTGAGATCGTCACCACCCACAAAACGTATGGTCCTTTTGGAGTTGACAATGGCACTCCAAATTTCAGTTATACCGTGCCGGAGGACGAGACGGTGGTGGGTTTCTTTGGAAACACTGATAACATTTTCGTCACTTCGATTGGTGTTTATACCATCTAAATCATTCAATATTCGACCCTGCTGCAGCCTGCAGTTAACTGCATGTCCCTTTTAATCATCAGCGTTTGATTTCTTCCCGTTTCCGCTATTCCAGCAATAAGATGGCTAGCTAACAAGGGTGTGTCCCCCTTGTCTATGCCGATTGCATTGTGATCTTTCGTAATCAAATCGGTCATGTAACATCTTTCCTTTGCAATGTTCAATGATGTTTTCAGAGATTGTTTTCTTCAGAATAAAACAGATCATATTGATGGTAAAGTAGAATGAGTAATTACGTTCATGTATTTCCATATCCATATAGCATCTGCCGATCCGCGTCTTCCCAAGCGTCCTTGTTGCTGTTTATTAGGTATGGTCGCCCTAACGGTGCTACGCCGTGTGCACCTCTATCACTGTATCACTGCTATTGATGGCGACTGACCCATGGTCTCGTGCTAGTCCACAGCCTCCTACACGTGCACAGTTTCCGTGCAGCACGACCGCCCTGTTGCCAAAACCCGCCAGTCTCATCTCATGGTTTCTGCTCCAACATTCAGCATCGTGTGTGTCCCACCGTAATAGAACTAGCCCAAAATATGCAGACACGCCAAGTGTCTCATTGTGCGTCTCCTGCACTAAGGTCGGGGCTTCTCTCTACAACTCCAGGCAGCTTCGTCTTCCTTTTTTTCCATGGCTACATCTATGCACGCTATGTAGCACAAGAGATATAGTAGCGCATTGACGTGTCTGGCACACTCAAATAGCTCATATATATAATATGAATTATTTTTAATAGCATTAAATTTTAGCACATAACTCATAGTGTGGATATATAGCCTCACGTGAGTACGTGACAGCCTCGCATGATTTTAGAATATGTACATGACACCTCTTGATCATGAGATAGCTTTTCTCTCTCTTTTATTAATAAATTTGGCAAAGCCCTTTGTCATACGCACAATCAAGCAAGGCCCCAGGAGGGCCGGCAGGGCGCCATCAGTGCCGCTGCCGCCGACGTCAAGCTGTCTTATCGAGTCTTATTAGATTAGGAAAGAGTTAAGAGATTGAGTTTGCTTTGTTAGGAAGGAGAATACAAATCCTATAAGGTTATACGAGGTTGCTTAGGGGCTAAGTCTCCTAGGACTATAAATACAATGGGCCATGTAATTGTTCAATCTTTAAGAAAAAAAGAAGTCGAAAGACTCTGTCCCCTCGCTCTCAAGCTCTCTTGCGCGCCGCCTCCTCTCTCTCTCTCCTCCCTTGCGCCGCTGGCCCTACCCATCAAACCCTATTACATCCGGTACTTGGAGCCACGTTACAGTCAACCACATGGAGGACCTCCACGCCGCCCTCGCCAGTTGGGAAAAAAAATCATGATTTTTTCCCCTTACCATCAGAACACAACATATCCAGATCTCTCCACCATCAAAAGGGAGAACATGAACCAGGATATCACCGATCCTCGCATGGAACGACTCGCCCTCGAGGAGAAGCTAGCACGCGTACGCGACAACATCATCACCGACACCGCGGGCATCGAGCAAGCCCACCCCTATAGCACCGACATCACCATGGTCCAAGCCAAGTTGGATCTGGACGCAGTCAACGACGAAGAAGTCTTGCTACCGAGATATAGCAAGCAATGATCACAGCCAACGAATCCTCCATCAACACCACGATGAAGGAATCCCCTTCATCAGGCGCCACAGAAATCATCAAGAAGGCACCGCATAACTTCCTTACAGCACCACTAGTACTACAGCCGCTTTTGCTGCTTTGCCCGAATCAGACCGTCGACGACGGCTATCATCCGGTCATCATCTTCAAGCTGGCCTTGGAAGATGACAGAAGTAGCCTGCAACCACGCAACGTTCACCTCAATAGAAAGATGCATATCCCAGGGAGATCCCAACATCAACATTATCATTCAATTGGGACAAGAGGTAACAACTATTACACTACCCAAGATTCCCCCTCATCATCCGACAGGAGATCCCATGGCACGCCGAGATGCAACACCACAACCGCCCGTGCCGCAGTCTACCGGCGAATGATTTGCTTTTCTGGGGTGAATGATAGAGCTATTCAGCTTGTTACTGCCATCTACTGCACGTTCAAACCCTCAGCAAAATCATGAGAAATAGAAAATGGGTGATTTTGCCCGGGCGCTACATGAGAATGCTTGGGCACGAGATGTGGACCTAGAAGTCAACACAACTACTCTGCATGAATATCTTACATTGTGGACTTGGACTACTGGAATAGAACTTGACCAGACATGACAAGATGAGGTATTGTGGTCCTGAGAGAGAAGTGGAACCTTCAGCACGAGATCAGCCTATGCAAGCAACTATTGGGGCCGTGAAGTAGACCAACGTCCAAGTTCACTTGGAAAGCTAGAGCCCGCTACATTGCCGTTTTTTCGCTTGGCTGGCCCTGCAGAATAGGTGGTGACCTCCGACCGTGTTGCGCGGAGAGGACTTGATCATCAGGACCAATGCCCGTTGTGTAACCAGGAGGACGAAAGCATAGACCACCTACTTATACGATGCGTTTTTGCGAGGTAGATTTGGGCAGGGATATTCCAGGCTCTGTGCAAGCCAGACTGGGTGCCGACAACGAACGACACTCTCACGGGATGGTGCATTAGCAAAAGCACCAATGGGACACACAAGAGAATGCTCAATGCTCTACGTATTCTAGTCATGGGAGATATGGAAGCATCGCAATGCAATTGTGTTTGAGGGAGCTATGCCATCGACGAACTATGTACTCTGTAGGATCACGGAGGAGGGGCGCAATTCGAAACAAGCGGGATTAGTTAAAGGAGACCTTAACGGTTTCTTCAACCACGTGGAGCGGCGGGCTAGTGCGGTAAGTTAGCTTAGCAGTAGAGGGTAGGGTTTTCAGGTGGTGATGTTGTGCATGTAAAATCATGTAACAATATCGTGGATGGGCTCTTCACTCCACTCCTTTTTTTAATATATAGTACGCATACTCCCGCGTATTCGAGAAAAATAAAATTGTCGATTTGGTTGTCACTGGCGAATGATAGAGTAACTCAGTTATTAATTTACTTGATACTGTATTGACAAAACATGTTAGCTATGAAGTTAAAACCGGATAGGAAGATGTGTACATAGTATATTGTTGATCGGAGTTGACAGGTTTAGTCCTAGTAGTGATGCTCGTCCCGTTTGTGTCGATTGAGGAATATTCATTGTAACACCCCTGGTGTTACGAACTTGTTTAGCACCACACTTAAGCCTTAAGAGTAGCTAGCAAATAAGCTCATCGCATTTTAAATTTATTTCGCGCATAAAATAATAACCAGACTTTAGTTGACTCACTTTGGTAATTAAAAGAAATCAAGTTTATATTGTAAATTAATTTTTCTAGGGCTTGATAATGCCTAATAAGAATTCTAACAAACAAAATGGTGAACAAATGTAACCAATGTTTGGTGCTTAAATAAAGTTGAAGTACCGAATTGCATCGATGGATAGTTGGGAACCTCGGCTTTGGGGTCGTCACTTTACAAACCGTGCTTGGCACGTTCCCTGTAGTTCGAGCCTTGGACGCAGCGAGCCGCCTGCGCGAGAGCTCCCTCAGCCCTGCATCACACCAACCACCGCGCTGTTGCTGTTCCGTCGACACACTCAGCACACACCAGCACTGTAAGCTCTTTCTTTTTAGAAAAGGAAAGATATTAATATCACACCTTCTACATTGACTAATGCATATAGCTATTCTTTATTGAGCTGTTTTACGGTGATTGTGTTAGTACTCGGAGTACTTAGCAGTACTTACATGTCTGATCACGTCTGATTTTTATTAGCCGTCAGATCTTGCGGGAAATTTTAATTGATTAAATTTAATATGTTAATTGCGATAAGGGCATAATGGTCCAGGGGAAAATATCTTTTCTTGAACCGATCACCTGAGGACCAGATCCATGTCTACTCGATCCAGTTCAGAATCCTCCTCCGATCTATTTGTTGCCGCTCGCCGCTCCTGACCTTCTCCGTCCTCGACCTGCCCGGCGAGAGGAATAAATTCATCGTCCTCGTCCTCCACCCAACCAACCCCAGCCCCCCACGCCGTCACCGAAGAAGAAGAAGGCCGGATCTGCGCCGGCTGAATCGGCGGCGACCGCGGCGGGCGATCCCAAATCTTCGCGCGTACCATCCTTAAGGTATGAATTCGGCTTGGCGTTCTGCTCGTTCTCTTGGCCGTTGCGCCCCTCCACCGTGCATGCAGTACAACCTCAACCCCACAAGATCCGGGTACTGACTAGAACAACGAATGGAAAGCTTCATCGTGGCATAGTTTCTCTTGAGCTAATCACATCATGTTTGTTTAAGTAAGATGTTGACGTTTGAGATGAGATATACTAAAGGAAGATGAGATACTGGTTCCATAGTTCACTTAATTTAGTTTATTAAAGTCATCATCACTTTAGGTTTGCATAGCGCATGAAATATAGTTTAAAGGAAGATGAGATACTATTTGTTGGACGTTGATGATTGGTTTCCCTCACATGTCAAACCAGCAAAGTCTTTTCCATGCACTTGTCTTTGCCTATGAGCTATTTTACACCTGCAACATTGATAAACAGAAAGATGTTGATGATTAGTTTCCCTCACATGTCATATGTAGGAAGACATGGCGTATGCAAGTGATGAGAGTATGTTCGAGTATGTAAATGTTGTCAGCAAGATGTTTGATAGTGAGGCTGAAGGCTATGAATTCTACAACAAATATGCTCTTGAAAAAGGTTTTAGTGTGAGGAAAAGCTACGTTGAGTGGGATGGATCCAA